ACCCAGTGACCCCAAAAATGACCAAGTGACACCCAAAAAACCCAGTGATCCCAAAATTCCGGTGACAACCAGAAAGAATGAAATGACACCCAAAATATCCAGAGATCCTAAAATTCCAGCGATCCCCAAAATGACCAAATTACACCCAAAAAGGAGCAAATGACACCCAAACCTCCAGTGATCCCAAAAATTCAACGACACCCAAAAAAAGACCAAGTGACACCGAAAAATCCAGTGATCCCAAAATTCCAGTGACAATCAACAAGGACCAAGAGCCACCTGAAAGAGTCAGGACGTGTCCCCATATCCCTGTGCCAACCCTCCAAACACAACCTCCAGCCCTTCCCAAGGATTCCCAAGGATCCTTGGAGCTGCAGGAAAATTGGGAAGCTCCAACATTCCCTGTCCCTCTGTCCCTTTCCTCTTCTTCTTCCCAGGTGCAGTGAGCACAGGAAGCAATTCCTGCAAATTCCACCCGAACCACAAAGAGCCTCAAAGACTTTTGGCACGTTCCAGGAATCATTTCCTGGAGGTTGATTTCCTCCTCTCCCTGGATGAAAATTCCCGGTTGCAGCAGAATTCCCGTTATTTTGGGCCCACGATGGAGAGCAGCAAAAAAAAAAAAAAAAAAAAAAATTAAAAAATTGTGAATCAAAACGGAATTTGTGGAACATCATTCCACGGGGGAAGGTGGGAACTGTGAGTGGATCTCAGCCACCACCACCACTGGTGCTCCTGGGGCAGGAAAAGCTGGATTGGGAAAGGGGCAAATCCGCAGCTGGATGTGGATTCCAGCCATGCAATCCCTGCATCCATTGCCACGATCAAAGCTGCAGCAGGAAAGGAGAATTCCGCCCTGGAATTTGTGAGTTCCCCAGCCAGGAATGGTCCCAGACCAACCCCTCCTGCTGCTTCTCCCCCATCCCACCGGGACATCCATTTTTTTGTTGGAATTATAACCATTCCCAGGGGATTTGCTCCGTTGTTGTCCCGGCTTTGATCCGGGGCTTGCTTTCAGCCTCCTCACAATCAGAGGGAAAATCCATCTCCTTTTCCCACTGGTGGGAAGATTTCTGGGATCAGATTCTGCCCACTCCACGCTCACACCCCATGGATGCATCAAAGGAGCAACAGGAATTGGTTCTTCCCGAAAACACCTCAAAAAACCCCCGAAAAACCCAAAAAAACCCTGGGAACTCTGGCAATGCCAACAGAGCTCAAGGAGCATTTGGGCAACACCCTCAGGAACACGGTGGGATTTTGGGATTGTCCTGGGCAGGACCAGGAGTGACACTTTGGTGACCCTGCCCAACCCTGGGTATTCCAGGACCCTCTGGAATCTCCTTCCCAAGCTCTCCCTGAGCCACGTCCCACCAGGGGAGGTGACAAGTCATCCCAAAATTCCAATTTCCGACAGGTTTGGGGCACCCCAAGGGGTTCAAGCTGTGCAGCACAGGGGGAAGCCGGGGCTGCTCATCCTCCTCATCCTCTTCATCCTCCTCATCCTCTTCATCCTCCTCATCCTCCCCACTGGGAGCTGCTGCTCCTCAACCTCTTCTTCCTCCCCAATCTCCCCATGAGGTGCTTCCTCATCCTCCTCCTCCACAGCTGCTTCGTCCTCATCCTCCTCTTCCTCCCCATCAGGGAGCTGCTGCCTCCTCACCCTCCTCTTCCTCATCTGGAACTCCTGCCTCCTCATCTTCTTCATCCTCCCCATCAGGAGCTGCTGCCTCCTCATCCTCCTCTTCCTCATCTGGAACTCCTGCCTCCTCATCTTCCTCATCCTCCCCATCAGGAGCTGCTGCCTCCTCATCCTCCTCTTCCTCATCTGGAACTCCTGCCTCCTCATCCTCCTCTTCCTCCCCATCAGGGAGCTGCTGCCTCCTCACCCTCCTCTTCCTCATCTGGAACTGCTGCCTCCTCATCTTGTTCATCTTCTTCATCCTACCCACCTGGAGCTGCTGCCTCCTCATCCTCTCCATCTTCCTCCCCATCAGAAGCTGCTCCCTCCTCATCCTCCTCATCTTCTTCATCCTCCCCATCAGAAGCTGCTGCCTCCTCACCCTCCTCTTCCTCAGAAGCTGCTCCCTCCTCATCCTCATCTTCTTCATCCTCCCCACTGGGAGCTGCTGCCTCCTCATCCTCCTCTTCCTCAGAAGCTGCTCCCTCCTCATCCTCATCTTCTTCATCCTCCCCACTGGGAGCTGCTGCCTCCTCATCCTCCTCCTCTTCTTCATCCTCCCCACTGGGAGCTGCTGCCTCCTCATCCTCCTCCTCTTCTTCATCCTCCCCACTGGGAGCTGCTGCCTCCTCATCCTCCTCTCCCTCTTCAGTTTCTTCATCCGGAGCTGCCGCTCCTCATCCTCCTCTTCCTCCCGCTTGGGAGCTGCTGCTTCCTCCTCCTCCTCCTCCTCCTCCTCCTCCTCCCCGGCCCCTCTCCCTCCTTCCCCTCCGCGGTTCTTCACCTGCAACCCGAGACTGAAGAATGGACGGTGGGGTGGGTGGAAAACAAAAACAAAAAATCCCCGCGGGAGCCAAACCCTGGACGGACAAACAAACAGACACGGACGGACAGACGGACCCTGCTGCTCACCCGGCGCCGGCTTCTCCTGGCCCCGGAGCGTTCCCGGGGTCTCCACCGGGAGAGAAACTTCCACAGGCTGCGGAAAAGAAGGAATGATGAGGTGGGAGGAGCGGCGGTCCCCCCTTCAGCTCCCGTTCCTCCCCCGGCCGGGGGATGCTCCGGGCAGGAATGTGGGAATGGAGAGGGGGAGAAACGGAGGGAACGGGGAAACATTAAAAAATGTTTACCTTGTGGGCAGAAAGTGATAATAAAATGATGATAAAATAAGTGGGATGTTTGCAAGGGAAGGGGCAGGGAAAGGGGGAAAAGTTTGATCCCAGGGAGAGAAAAACTCCAGGTATCAGCACCTGGAGAGGTGGAAAACACCGGATTTGGGTGGAAAAGTTTGGGGTGGAAAAGTTTGGGGTGGAAAATGCTCCAGGCGGGTCCCCCCTTCAGCTCCTGTTCCTGTCCGGGCCGGGGGATGCTCCGGGCAGGAATGTGGGAATGGACAGGGGGAGAAACGGAGAGGAGGAAACATTAAAAAATGTTTACCTTGTGGGCAGAAAGTGATAATAAAATGATGATAAAATAAGTGGGATGTTTGTAAGGGAAGGGGCAGGGAAAGGGGGAAAAGTTTGATCCCAGGGAGAGAAAAACTCCAGGTATCAGCACCTGGAGAGGTGGAAAACACCGGATTTGGGTGGAAAAGTTTGGGGTGGAAAAGTTTGGGGTGGAAAATGCTCCAGGCGGGTCCCACCTTCAGCTCCCGTTCCTCCCCCGGCCGGGGGATGCTCCGGGCAGGAATGTGGGAATGGACAGGGGGAGAAACGGAGAGGAGGAAACATTAAAAAATGTTTACCTTGTGGGCAGAAAATGAGAATAAAATAAGTGGGATGTTTGTAAGGGAAGGGGCAGGGAAAGGGGGAAAAGTTTGATCCCAGGGAGAGAAAAACTCCAGATATCAGCACCTGGAGAGGTGGAAAACACCGGATTTGGGTGGAAAAGTCTGGGGTGGAAAAGTTTGGGGTGGAAAAGTTTGGGGTGGAAAATGCTCCAGGCGGGTCCCCCCTTCCCCTCCTGTTCCTCCCCGGGCCGGGGGATGCTCCGGGCAGGAATGTGGGAATGGAGAGGGGGAGAAACAGAGGGAAGAGGGAAACATTAGAAGATTTTTAATTATGGGCATACAGTGATAATAAAATAACTGGGGTGTTTGCAAAGGAAGGGGTCGGCGCAGGGAAAAGGGAAAAGTTTATTCCCAGGGAGAGAAAAACTCCAGCAGGTATCAGCACCTGGAGAGGTGGAAAACACCGGATTTGGGGTGGAAAACTGATTTATGGTTCAGATGTGGGAGGGTGACGTTGCTGGGGGCTGGAGGGGCACAAATGAAATCCTGATTTGTCTCCTCTCCCTGCAGCAGAGATTCCTGTGGAATTGTCTCCTGGATGGAGAATTGGAGAAACTGAGGCAGGGGAGGGAGTGCAGGTTCAAACGTTGAGGAAATGACCCCAAAAAGGACCCAACAGCACCCCTGGCTCCTTGGGGTGGGGACAGCGAGGTGACCCCACAGCTCTGGGTGAGATGGGCAGGGAATGTGTGGGACACATTCCATGGGGATTCCTGGAGAGGGAGACCGGCTCCAAACAGCATCCAAGCAGGATCCCAGGAATAAATCTGAGTTATCCCCTCAAATCCAAACAGGAGCCCAGGAATAAATCTGAGTTATTCCCTCAGCTCCAAACAGGATCCCAGGAATAAATCTGAGTTATCCCCTCAGCTCCAAACAGGATTCCAGGAATAAATCTGAGTTATCCCCTCAAATCCAAACAGGATCATGGGAATAAATCTGAGTTATCCCCTCAGCTCCAAACAGGATCCCAGGAATAAATCTGAGTTATCCCCTCAGCTCCAAACAGGATCCCAGGAATAAATCTGAGTTATCCCCTCAAATCCAAACAGGATCCCAGGAATAAATCTGAGTTCTCACCCCTGGTTCCAATCAGGATCCCAGGAATAAATCTGAGTTATTCCCTCAGATCCAAAGAGGATCATGGGAATAAATCTGAGTTATCCCCTCAAATCCAAACAGGATCCCAGGAATAAATCTGAGTTCTCACTCCTGGTTCCAATCAGGATCCCAGGAATAAATCTGAGTTATCCCCTCAAATCCAAACAGGAGCCCAGGAATAAATCTGAGTTATCCCCTCAAATCCAAACAGGATCCCAGGAATAAATCTGAGTTCTCACTCCTGGCTCCAATCAGGATCCCAGGAATAAATCTGAGTTCCCACTCCTGGTTCCAATCAGGATCCCAGGAATAAATCTGAGTTCTCACTCCTGGCTCCAAACAGGATCCCAGGAATAAATCTGAGTTCTCCCGTCAGCTCCAAACAGGATCCCAGGAATAAATCTGAGTTCTCACTCCTGGTTCAAAACAGGATCCCAGGAATAAATCTGAGTTCTCACTCCTGGTTCCAAACAGGATCCCAGGAATAAATCTGAGTTATTCCTTCATCTCCAAACAGGATCCCAGGAATAAATCTGAGTTCTCCCCTCAAATCCAAACAGGATCCCAGGAATAAATCTGAGTTCCCACTCCTGGTTCCAAACAGGATCCCAGGAATAAATCTGAGTTCTCCCCTCAGCTCCAGCCACCTCCTGCAGCCAAGCCTGGACCCCAAGGCAGCTTCCAGCCGCTGGGAAAACCCCAATCCAGCCACCCCTGGAGCTCCCACCACACAAACGGGAGAGATTTCAGGGAAAAAAATAAAATTAGGAAGAATTAGAGATCCCACATCCCAAAAACCCAGCAGTTTTCCTGCTTGGAGTGAGGGATCCGCACCGAGGATTTCCGTGCCCGGGGTGCTGGGAATTCCAGAGCTGCTGAAGAGCAGATCTCACCCTGGTGGGTCCCATCCTTGCCTAAAGATCCTCTGGCCAGGAGCTGAACGGGCCAAAAAGGTCAAGGACGGAGGAAAAGGGAAGACCAGGAGCCTCCAGGGTGAACACATTGGCTGGAGATGGAAAAAAATTCCAGGGAATCCCAGCCACACCTGGCTCCAGGTGAGGCCAAAGGAGCAGCACAGCCCCAGGAATAAATTCCTCTGTTGGAAGAGATTTAAATCACCCGTCAGCTTCCAGGTGTTCAGATATCCACGGGTTTAGAAGTTGGGAGAGGAGGAATTTTGTTCTTCCCGGCCTGAGCCTGCAGGGAAATCACTGGAGCTGATGTTCTCCCACTCCAGCAGAAAACCCCAGGAATTAACTGCTTCCTCTCCGTAAATATTCACCATTTTCCTCCCCTCCAGATCATTTTTGCCTCCAAGCTCTCCAGGATGACTCCGGTTTTAGGGATTGATGCTAATCCCAGCACTCCATAAACTCAGGCTTAACAACTGAGCCTAATTAAACCTCCTTAAGCCCTGAATGCCTCATTAGGGAGCTGAATGGGCTTAATTGCAATTGGATCTGCATTCAGCAACTGAATCCGCTCCCACACCCCGAGTGGGGCAATCAGGAGGTCTGTGTGCACCTCCAACACAATTCCCGGCAGGATTGGGGCTCCAGCTGCCCAAAATGCTGCAGGACGAGGAGTTAAACCAGGAGTTCTGGTTTTAACCCAAATCCAGCGGGGTTTAACCCTGCAGGGGTGGGGAGAGGTGGAGACGTGGCACCTGGGGACACCCCACAGCAGGAGGATGTGGAGCTGCTGAAGAGATTCCAGAGGAATCCATGGAGCTGCTGCAGGGCTGGAGCCAGGCTGGGAGAGCTGGGAATGTTCCCCTGGAGAGGAGAAGGATCCAGGGAGAGCTTCCAGCACATTCCAGGCCCTGAAGGGGCTCCAGGAGAGCTGAAATTTGGGAAAAGCCTGGAGGGACAGGACCCAGGGAATGGCTCCCACTGCCAGAGGGCAGCCAGGGATGGGAGATTGGGAATGAGGAATTCCTGGCTGGGCTGGGATTGCCAGAGCAGCTGGGGCTGCCCCTGGATCCCTGCAATGTCCCAGGAAAGGCTGGAGCAGCCTGGGATGGTGGGATTGGAATGGGATGGGATTTGAAGTCCCTTCCCACCCAAACCATTCCGGGATTCTGGGATCAAGGAGGCTCAGAATCCATCCCGAGGGATTTTTATGGAAGCTGGGGATGGAAAAGGGAAGGGAGACCCTTCCTGGAGTCCTGAGATTCCCAGTGAAACCCCCGGATCCCAAAATTCCTTCCTGGAGCAGAGTCGGGGTGGGGATGGATCCAATGCCAGGCTGGGAGAGCTGGGAATGGAGGGAATTCCCTGGGAAAGGGAGCTTGGGGTGGGATTTTGGGAAGGAATTCCTGGCTGGGCTGGGATTGCCAGAGCAGCTGGGGCTGCCCCTGGATCCCTGGAATGTCCAAGGAAAGGCTGGAGCAGCCTGGGACAGTGGGAGGTGTCCCTGCCCATAAATCTTTGGATGGATGACTTTCCCTCAAGGATCTGGGCTTGGGCCATGTGGAATTTTTATGCTGGGCTCTTGGCAGGTGTGATGGGAACACCTGGAGCTGAACAATTCCGTGCTTTTATTCCCAAACCCTGGAGCCAAACAGGCTCCATCAAAGGCCCGGGGCAGGGGTGAGGAACAAAGCGAGTTCTTTAATTGTCAAAGAAAAGCAGGAGGGGGAACATCCAACTCGGGCCAAAAGCAAACCACAAAAACCAACTGTGCTGAAGCAAATCTGGGAGGTTCCCAAGCCAGGCTCCTCGGCTCCTGGAGCAGTCAGGAATATTTGGGAGCAGTGGACGGGAGCAAGGCAAGGCAAAGAGGAGCATTCGGCACTTCCCGGAGTGCCAACCCCTCTGGAGAGGGAAGGGTTTCCGTCTGCTGGAGATCACGCTCCGCACGGAGCAGAAAGTCCTGCAGCCACACCTCATCCGTCAGATGAAAGCTGGGAAAGGTCCAGCAGCGTTTTCTGATCCCAAAGCACCTCTGGAAAAACACCAGGAAGGTGTTTCTGTCCCATTGTTCTTCCTGAGGCCCTGAAAGCAGCAGGGAAGACGCAAAAAAGGACATTTTGGGAGGAGAGACGGGA